AGAGAGAGAGAGAGAGAGAGAGAGAGAGAGAGAGAGAGAGAGAGAGAGAGAGAGAGAGAGAGAGAGAGAGAGAGAGAGAGAGAGAGAGAGTTTCATCGATAGCAGACGTCGGATAAGCAACGTGCACATGTTGTAGGTCAGTCTCCAACCCCCTCGGCTGGCCTGACGCTGCTTCCATTGATAGGATGACCAATCCTATGAATCTTCCGCTAGAAGACGGAAATATACATGCGCGCGCGCGCGCGCACGAGAGAGAGAGAGAGATTGTTGGCAAACAAGAATCACTGAGCAATGGGAGGTTTTGTCAAACTTGTGTATTGTTTTTTTTTTTTTTTTCTGTTTTTTTCTTTCTGCTTTTATCATAGCCTGATGTTGATGGACTACCATTCGCACACAAGATGACCGTAATCAGACAACATCGTCGTTTCATCCAACGACGGATTTGATGATGATGTCGACCATGCGCATGGCAGCTGTGAGCCTGTGACGACGTGGACACCATCAGGTTTGGTGCTGACGTGGCGATGTCGACGATGACCAATCGTCATCATCAATATCGCGACGTCGGTACTACTCGGTAGCAAAATTGTTAGTGTCCATGTCGACATGGCTGCCTTGCAACTGGTCATCATCGTCATCAAAACCGTCGTTGGACCAAACGACGATGCAGTTGTCAAATTGTCAGCATTGCACTGTCGTACACGGATGCATGATGTTGAGACATGGATTTCATTTGTTATCATCACAAAGGAATGCAAGGTATAATTCTTTTTTTTTTTTCGATTTGCTGTGATGCTTGTTGTCTTAAACCACTAGTACCTTTGTCGATTCGGAAAATAGTGGGCCTCGAACCTTTCAAGAGGCCGAAACAAAACGACGGCCGCCGATCAGATTTATCAACGGCAGCCGTTGTCGGGCCCGGCCTCCTAAAAGTTCGGGAGCTGGCAAGAACTTGTTGAAACCGGACGCCAAAGGTACTAGTGGTTAAAAAAAAAAAAAAAAAAAAAAAAAAGTTAAAAAACGGATATCCGCCATAAATTTTTGCCAACAAAACAAACGAACTTCACTTGTGCATCATGTTGAGGTCATAGTACCGTTCTCCACATTGTATTTTTTGTTACGGTGCGTATATGTGGTTTCCGTTCTGTACTCTGATGACAAGGACATCCGGTTACACGGGGTACATGCGTGTGTCTGGGCGTGTGGGTGTGGGTGTGTGGGTGTGTGGGTGTGGGTGCGTGTGTGTGTGTGTGTGNACACACACACACACACACACACACACACACACACACACACACACACACACACACACACAAACACACTAAGCACACCCGCACACAAAACGAAAACTGTACAAAACTATACGGTCATATCACCCCCTCCCGCCGCAATGTCTGCATCGACCTCTGCCTCCTCCTCGTCCTCCTCAACGCCCCCCTCGAAATCCGGGTCGCCCGATGATGCCGATGTGCTCGAGCCTGATGTGGCTGCGGATGCTTGTGCTGCCCTCATCGTCGCCTCTCCCCTGCGCCTCCTGGTGATGCGCAGCGCTATGCCCTCCTCGGCCTCGGCGCTCGATGATGTGACCGGCGCTGCGTCCGCATGATCGTCTCTTCCATCTGCGGGGGCTCTCCTCCGTGGTGCACCGCCCCCTCGTGTCGTGGCACGTCCCTCTCCTCTCCCCCGTCCCGGTGGCCGGCCTCTGGGACGTCCTTCTCCTCTCCCTCGCCCCACTCCTCTCCCGTGTACCTGTCCTGACATATCCCTCTCGCCCGCACCCCAACCCCTCTCCCGATGGTCGGCCTCGGCCTCTGCCACAACCTGCAGCTCCCCTGATCTCCTGTCCCGTGGCACTCTTAGGCTTCTGCTTGCGACCAACGAATGGTCGAATCTGCTCGATGATGACTGAGGGGTCTTTGGCCGGCAACGGCATCGTCGCCCGTGCACCGAAATCCGCGCGGGTGGCTGCACGACGAAGACCAGTGCCTGGGGAGTCGTGCGCCCCTGTGCCACTGCAATGTCCACTGGCACCCTGCGTACCCATCGTGGGAGGCGGCTGCGGTCCGGGGCCTGCGATCCCCAGTGCCAAAGAAGGATCTGGACGTGGCAACGGGAGTGAGGGAGAAATGCGTGCAGTGCCACCATCCGCCCCGTGGCATGTGCGCATCCCCTGCTGCGGCGTGCCTCGTCTATGTCTCCCGGGGTACCCCACCAATGCCTGCTCGATCTCCTCTGCCGAGTAACCGGCGGCCGCCAGGTCGTGCGCGATATCCTCCCTGTTTGTGCCTCCCTCTCTGGAGGTAGCCTCCCCAACAGCAGCCTTCCCACCAATGGGCTCTGCACAGTCCACGCCGCCAGTCTCCGCATCAGGGTCAACTCGCGGCAGATCCGACAACGGTCTCGGCAAGTACGCCGCCAAATCCCTCTCGGCGTCGTGGCAGACAACTGATGTTGTCCACAAGTCTAGCGGACCTGTGAAACCCGCTCGTCGTCTCAGTCTCCCCTCAGAGTCGTACTCTACTGCACGGTGGGGGCTGGAAAAGGTGGCAGCAGCCGAGGCCGGGCACTCGGACGCGTGCCCTCAACAGTACCTGCCGCGAAAGACGACTGATGCCAGAGTGGGAGATCGAGTAGCGAGCTCCCTCAGTAACTCAGACCTCGGCTGGTGAGGTCGGTACGGAGCCTTGAACTGACTGAGGTAGACCTCGTGTAAAGCCAAATACCACTCCGATCTAGCGACGTTGAACGGGATACCATAGCCCACGAAGAATCTGATGTACGCCATGTCGAGGTCATACTGGATGGGGTGCTCAACCCAACCATCGAGACGAGTCTGGGTCACTCTAGGCACTCGGTGCCGAGCCCGTCTCCGCTCCGCAGGGTCTGCCGCCAGCCCTTCCTCGAGGTCGGCAGGGACAGGTATGCCCTCATCTCCCGCTCGCTGGAGCATCCTCTCCCTCCACCACTGCTGCTCGTCCCACGGACCGCTAGCAGCCCCCTCAGGCACACACCGTCTCCTCCCTGGCTGCAAATGTGAAGCACCATGCGGCCTCTTCCCCACTGGATCAAACCATCTCGCCCTTGCGTGCTCTACATGCTCTGTCTCGTCCCACTCGTCCCCTCCCCCGCACGAGCCCTCTCCTGCTCCCTCTACCCCTGACTTGCCCTCTCCTGCTCCCTCTCCCCCTCCACTAGACGGGCCCACTGCTCCAGAGGTGCCCACTCCTCCGAAGGGGCGCGCTCCGTCCTGTCGTGCCACCGGTGCTGGACCTTCTCGGTCCGCCCGCCCTCGCCCCTGTGCCAAATCATGCACAGGGACCAGGGTGGGATGTCGTGCTACACCACCAGGCAATCTCCAGTTGAGGGGATTCTCGAAATCGAGCTCACCCTCCCTATCAACCTCCCGCACATAGACAGGGAGCGAGCCCTTCAAGGCTATGCCCGCCCTTTGCAACTCCTTAAGAATGTACACGCACGCGTGCGGGCACCTGTCATGCTCGCGTGCGGTGCTGAAGTGTTGGGTGGCCTTGGACTGGTTGCCGACTCACCAGTGACCACACAATCTGCAACGTAACTCGTGATTGCCCTTCGGGTCCGCCCCCGAAGGGCTGGTCCACAACTGCCCCTTCTGCACGTACTTCCAAATGACGTGCTTCGGCCGAGGGTCGTTCTCGAAGTCTTGATTGGGCACGAACTCCGGCCTGCGCACCATGTCGGCGCTCCCTCCCCTAGGTCTTCTTGCAGATCCTATTAACTGTAGTTGCTGCAGAATCTGCTATTGGGCTCGCTATTCTTGTTATTACTTTTCGAATTCGTTGTGTATTGATCCATCATTCATCCGTTCGATCGTCGATCATTGGACTTGGTTGACTGATTGGTTGGTGGATTGATTGATTGATTGTTTTGAATGATTGATTGGTTGGTTGATTGATTGATGGATTGAACGATTGATTGATTGATTGATTGATTGATTGAGTGAGTGAGTGAGTGATTGAGTGATTGATTGGTTGGTTAGTCGATCGTTTGAGCGGTCGACTGATTGATTGATTGATTGATTGATTGATTGATTGATTGATTGATTGATTGATTGATTGATTAATTGATTGATTGATTAATTGATTAATTGATTAATTGATTAATTGATTGATTGATTGATTGATTGATTAACAGATTGATTGATTGACTGATTGATTAATTAATCGATTCATTGAGTGGTCGATTGATTGATTGATCGAGAAAGGGGGAAAGAGAGAGAGAGAGAGAGAGAGAGAGAGAGAGAGAGAGAGAGAGAGAGAG